AAAAAAATAGTTTTCAATGATTTACAAACATTAATAAAAAAAATAGTTTTCAATGATTTACAAACATTAATACAAAAAGTGCTCAAAATTGCTGCCAGAAATTTAAGGATATGCAAAAACTGTAGGAACGGTAGTATTTAAACGGCCTTTATGTTTGTTCTCGTTCTAAACACCAGTTTGTATAATAAATTTAAATCATACAAATTGAAATAGTATCATTTAGGTAGTTGCTATTAAATACAACGGGTTCAGCCGAGGGGGCGTGGCTTGTATGGTGACACGTCATGTATTTATACCGTCTACCTAAAAACATCACACACATACTGTGTGACCAATGTGACGTATAGCGAGCTGCCTGAGGCTTAGTTTAATACCTCCCTGGTTTGTGCAGGTTTGTGGTGCTACTGCTGCTACGGCCGGGTGACCATGAGACATCGATTCCATTTCCAGACGATTGGCCCAAAGTATGGACGATTGTGTAGGTCTAGGCCCCTCTAAGCTAGGTCGCACCACCAGGAGGCCTCTCCAGTAGTCTGAGGCGCAGCCAAGGCATAGTAATAGGCCGCAGTGCTTCCAGCAACACGCGGCAGTCTGTCTAGGTGGCAGAGCCAGCGGGGGCTGGGGAGAATGGGGCTTAAGCCTTTACCTCTATCGGACTGAGTCAAGGCTCAAATAACCGCTTCAATTCTACTTTCTCTTTCTCACTTATGGGCTCATCCCAATCTAGCTTTAATCCCCACAGTCTGCGAAGGAGTATCTTAGCCCTCACTGTCACTGGTGTAACTAGTCCCAATGGGTCATACACAGAGTTAATTTTACTTAAGCATATGCGTTTTGTTAATACCTCTGGTATGTTCTGGAATGTTTGCGCATTGTCGGTGAACATAAGAACATCCTTCTGTGGATTCCAACTAATTCCCAGTACTTTTTCTTCTTTAGGCATCCACATCTCCTCTTTACAACTGCCACCTGAAAATACCCACTTCTTAACAGCAAAATTTCCTGGCTTAATTAGCTCCTCTATTTGTTCAGCTCGTTCTCTTGCTGCTTTGCCTGAATCTTCACACTCAAGAATGTCATCTACGTACACATTCTTCAACACCGTCTCTGCAGCTGATGGTGCTGACTTGCTGCCTGCTTCTGCTGTTTTCCTCAGTGCCACTGTTGCAATGGTAGCAGATGGGTGGTCCCCAAAATTAACTGCTGTCACACAGTACGTCTTTGGTGGACTGTCTGTGTCCATCCCTCTCCATAAAAAACTGTGAGAGTGCTGATCTAATTGTGTGATAGCTACACTATGGTACATCTTTTTAATGTCTCCTACTAGTGCATGGTTCCTTTCCCTGAATCTCAGTAGAATGGCTAACAAGTTATTTACAAGATCAGGTCCCTTGGCCCAGTACTCTTTCAAGATGTGACCTTTGTATGCAGCGCTGCTATTGAATACTATTCACAGAGGAGTACTGGTATTCTCTGGTTTTTCAACACCATTATGTGCAATGTAATGCACTGCTCCCTTATATTCCTTTAACTCCTTCTATTTGATTTCTCTTGCAACACCCCGATGCACCATATCTTCTATTTGCTCATTGTAGGCTTTTGCTTTTGCTTGGTCTTTTCCTAGCTTCTTCTCTAATGACACCAACTTTGCTAACGCAACTGACATATTGTCCGGTAGATCTCGTGGATCCTTGATCCAAGGATAGCGTGCTGTCCATCTGCCTTCAGCATATTTCAGATTATCCTCAATTAACTTTAGTTCAATTTCCTCTTGTAATGTGAAGTTCTTCGCTCTCCTGGGGCATTTCCCACATGGGTTGACAGTTTACCCCCATGCTTTCTATAGTCAGGAACTCGTCGAATGGTGTTGCTATGACATAATTCACCTGGAGTCCTGCTTCTTCTTCCCACTCAATGGACGGATGAGAACCGCCTATACATTGACCAAATTGATTTTTCAACAGGACCAAGTGTCCGCATGCTTTAATCTTCACTGGATGGTAACCCGCATATTCATATCCAATCAACAGTTCCACCTCACCAGTAGGTCTTCGGATATCCTCAACTTTAACTCCTACGATTTTGGCCAGATAACTTAAATCTTTATTGCCTACTTTTGCTGTAATTCTCTGGATTCCATAGGCTTCCACTACTATCACGTTCCCTGATTTGTCTGTGAGTGGTACTCTATACTTCACACTGTCAATGGATCGGTTTCACCTCCTACCTTTGTTATACATATTGTTACTGGACACCCCTTGGCCTTAATTTTCCTGGCAGCCACATGTGTGATTAATGAAGCCGTCGCACAGCTGTCCCAAAGTGTATTGATACCATGACTGCCACATTTCACTTCCATTAGCTGCAGCAAACAAGGGTCTGCCTTTGTCTGCATGTTGTTCTTAATTGCCATCACAGTTTCTACCTTTTCCCGTTCCTGTCTATGCAATAAGTTATGATGGAGCCTTGTATAACCCTGTACTCCACACTGCTTTTTTCTACGACACTTGGCAATTGTGTGACCAACTGTCAAGCAGGAGAAACAGGCCCTGCTCTTCTTTAAGATGTTCATATTTTCTGCAACAGATTTACTTAGGAATGTTCGGCAGCTCTCTGTTTTATGCTGACCATCCCGGTGTATGATGCAACCTGATTTGGTTGTAGCATCTAGCGAGTGCACCATAGCTGATTTTGTTGGCTGGCTAGTTCTTATTCCTTCCATCGTCTGTCTGTCTTATCAACTTTATTCCTGTCCTCATGCATATATCTAACCCATCTTCCAAAAACCAATGATGGCAATTTCTTTTCAATTTCACCCACCACCTTGAAGTTAGATATTTCTCTCTCAAGTCCAGCCCTTTTTAGATCATAACTATACTCGCCATCTTTGATGTCGCGCTTCCGCTCCAGCTCGTTGATGATAGTATCAACTAACTTTACTCGGTCTCCATACCTGCCATCAAGCCTCTCCCACATCATCTTGATGTCATCCTCAATAGGCCCTATAATCTGCCTGGATACCGGACCTAATGTCTGCCGTAAAGCAAATGCTACTTGCTTAGGATGGGTGACCGGAACAACAAAATTATTAAAATCTTCTTTAAACCTGGTATAAGCTCTAATGTCGCCTTCAAACCGTGGCAATTCCATCTTTTTCAACTGCATAGTTGTTTTCTTCTCTTTCATCTGTCCGTCTTCCTGCTTAGCCACACTTGCTCCTTCCTTAGCTGCACCTTCCTTCTTGTTTCTGTACCTTATTATGCCTTGACGAACCTTGTTATAATTTCCTTCCACCTTCAATCCACTGTGCTTGTTCCTGAACCTCCGGATCGTCTAACATTAAAATCTCCTCATGAGAAGTTTGAATTTTTCCCCAGATCTCAGTCAGGTCCTTATGTAGGACGTCCAGATACTCGACAGAACCTGATTCTTCTATGGCCGTCTGAATCACCTTGATGACCCTGCAGGTCATCGCACCTTTCTGTACGCCACGTCTCTTCTTCACCTGATCCATAGTAATGGTTGGTCTTGAAGAAGAATTTCGAATGTAAAGCACAAAAATAAGACACTGCGCCCTCACTTGGTTGTTGTCAACTCAATTTCAAACTTTAATGACCGGTAATATCATTAATCTATATATAGATGTTCGAAATCTGTAAAGATACAAACAATACAACATAGGCTTTAACTATGTAGCTCGTTGGCATAGCAACGGCATTCTAAATCACTCAAGCGTGACGACTACCCTAGCGAGTAACGTTGTAGTAACAGTGCGGTGGCTTACTAATGACAGAAGTTAAACAATCTTCTCTCACTCACAACTAGTAATTATATTTTAACTTGCCTATTCTGCATGTATACTGGGTATTTAACATTGTCAATAATCAACTGCCGTTAACAATTAAGTGTTCATCACAATCAAAATGATTATATTAAACATCAAGTTAACATGCATCAAATCATCAATGAACTACACGATAAGCTAAATCATGTTTCTTCGCTGGGCAACACAGCTGTAGTGTAGGCCCTATCTACTGATGAGTGAATGGGTCACAAAATACTGCCTAAATTATTATCGCCAACTTACATGTAAACCCAATCATCATCTATTGATTCTACAATAATTAACTTTATGGTGATTAGAAAACTATTAATTGTCTACTCACTCTTGAGCTCTCAATATGCAACCAAACATTAAAGGTTCACTGCGTACATCATTATCTGACGTTTCTAAATCGTCTACATCAAAATTACGCGCTTTGGTGATAATGTATCAAAGATCTTATAAACACAAAATAGCGTTCTCCGCGATTTACGCGTGCAAATTCTGTAACAAAGATCTTATAAACACAAGATAGCGTTCTCCGCGATTTACGCGTAACAAATAGAAGCGTCGGTCAAGGTTCAAAAGTTTCCCATTTAGCAAGAGGGCGCCATTCATGCGCTATTACCGAAGAGAAAAAGTAATCAGTTTTGGAAGAGGGCGTCCTATCTGTTGCCATGGATCTGAGATGGTTCCTGTTCTGCTGTTTACAGGATTGATACTCTAAGGTAAAGTCGCGCGGTGTACTGTATGGTCAGAGTGGTCAAGGGTCAAAAGTTTCCAATTTAGCAAGAGGTCGCCATTCATGCCTTATTACAGAATTTGCACGCGTAAATCGCAGAGAACGCTATCTTGTGTTTATAAGATCTTTGTTTTGTAATAAGGCATGAATGGCGCCCTCTTGCTAAATTGGAAACTTTTGACCCTTGATCGCTCTTACCACACCGTACACCGCGCGACTTTACCTTTAGTCAATCCTGTGAACAGCAGAACAGGATCCATTTCAGATCCATGGCAACAGATAGGACGCCCTCTTCCAAAGCTGATTACTTTTTCTCTTTGGTATATAATAGCGCATGAATGGCGCCCTCTTGCTAAATTGGAAACTTTTGAACCTTGACCGACGCTTCTATTTGTTACGCGTAAATCGCGGAGAACGCTATCTTGTGTTTATAAGATCTTTGTAATGTATTAAAATGAAATAGAGGGCGCAATTGCCATATCGTGAACGATACAATTATTATTATTATTATTGTTATTATTATTCTTCTTATTATCATTATTATATTAAAAATTCCATTTTTGCTTTATAACCAAACAGTAAAAAATCATTTTGATATTTCCGATATAAACTAACAAGATCTGAATCTGGAATGTTAGCATAGCTTTTTTTAACCTTTTCAAAATTTGAACTATTTGTAAAATGGAATCCAGTTGATGCTGGAAACTTAAGATCAGCTCCGACACGATTTAGTATATAGTTTGAATCATTCTCAATATCCTCAAATCGTCCTATGACATCATAATCAATTTCGCACGGATAACATATTAAAAGCATGTTTCTCCAATGGATGTTGGAAATATAGTTTTCTTTGGAAACGATCATTTTAATAAATTCTCCGAATGTTGGATCATAATTTTTGGTGGTATATCCTGGCCTGATTTTTTTTTTAATTTTTCGGCTCATAGAGCGTTGTGATGATAAGTTGTAGTCACTTGCATTCTTTGCAACTAACTTATCATTGTAAGCTGACAGTAATCGTGTTAAAGGGTTCCTGACAAACATTATCTTGGTGTAGCTGGACATTATTTCCTTCTGTTTTGCTGTAGAAAAATTAGATAATTGAGGTACGTGCTTTTTCCATGCGGCACTCACTTGCGAAGCAGTCATATTTAGCACCTCTGAATACTTTTTATATCCAGAAAGAGTCAAAAAAATTTTGCACCAACTAACTGTACCAACTTTAGGCGTTTGACAGTAAACAATCTTATGTTTCTCATTCACCAGTAGCTTTGGAAGTGTTTTCATCTTTGGGATAGTACTTCGATGTTTGCGACACATTTCTCGTGTATAGTCAATTCGCCTTTCATTTATAGTTGAGTATTTCTTCATTAACTCGTCGATGGTCATTCCTCTTTTACTTTGTATTTCCTGTGTGTACAAAATAAAATGTGAATTATATCAATTCGGGCAATTTTATAAACATTATTTATAATACATTTGGAGCGGTTGGCGTTTAGGTCTCTTTACCTCACGGTTGGGTGTTCGAACATCCGCTGTGCATTCTCTTGTGTTCTTGCACAATGCACTTTACCTACGTTTGTCTCTCTCCACCATGAAATGTGTATCCTGTCAACTACTGGGGAGGAAAAATGCGGCGTGAAAAGGAACTGGCCACCCTACCACACAATGCCAAGGCTTAGTACGATGGGCTAAGAGCTCATTCCCTTACGTTCAGTGCCGTAATGAATACGGGACTTTTAAATTTATATTAACATCGTTTTAAATGGAGTTTCATGAATAAAAACAATTAAAAATATTCGAGCATCATCTTTCCTTTAACAGTAATACATCAATAAGATATACAACTAATGAAAATGATAGAATAGCACCAGGTTAAGCCAGAGATTATTAATATAGAAAATGGCATAATACCTCCAATAGTGATAGGCCTATATCAAGCTACTGCACAATATTTTGAAATACACGTATTGTTTCTATTGAATTTAAATTTAAATCTATCGGATGTATGTAAATTGTGTGAATTCTAGGCGCTAGCGGTACCCAGCGTTACTTGTTTGAAGTCCCTTATTGTTTTTGGAATAATCATTATTAGGCCTACCTCAGATGTTTTTGAATCATTAGATTGTTTAAGCGTGACGATGACCCCTGTTGGAAGAAATGAAAAATTTATAATTATTTTAACATTTATTTGCATTCTAGTTAGATGTTTCCAGTGGCGGCGGTACGGAGGGAGGGGGAGGCATTTTCCCCAGAAAATGTTCTTTATCCCCCCCCCCCAGTTTTTTACCTCAAAAAGAAGAAAAACCACTGCGGAGATAAAAAAAAAAAAAAAAAAAAAAAAAGTATATGCATTTTCTACATAATTAGTAGACAATCCACCTATAAAATCTATTAAATAAGAGTCTGGAACCCCTACATTGTCATATTTTTCCTGGACCTTTTTCGAGATATTCTGAACAACGCCCGACCACGCCCACCCCGGGTACACCCCACCATATTCTCTCCTAAAATTTTACCTTGCCCCTCACTCCCCCCCCCCTCCGACTCAGACTCCGGCGCAGCCACTGGATTTTCTCAAATGTGAATATATCAATCCTAAGCAAGTCAAAATTCTAACCAAATTGGACTGTCACTAAATATTTTTAGCTTTTAAAAGTGTCACTAAAAGCGGGACAAGATTACGCGGGGCTTTGTGTTTAAAACCTTTTTACAATTTATGCATATATTAATATAAACAGTCTATATTTCTATTATTTGACACCTGGGTGCTCCGACCTCTGAAGGGCGATACTAAATAATGTCCATATATTACCAAAATCCTATATTTCTTATACATTATATTGATTAAAAATTGCTATGACAAATCTAATTTGAGATGAAATATCTTACTTATTTCTGGCGATTGTTGTGTTTTAAACACTGAAAGAGAGGAATACAAATATTTCATTAATATTGCTAACGCCGGTTGTAGAAATAGGCCTAGGCCTATTAGTAGTAATGTTTTAGTGTCGTAGTGATGGCGCTAATAGTAGTAGCACTAGCAGTAGCAGTAGTAATAATTATAATAAAAATAATAATGTATATAACAATCATACTAAAATATTCTAGGTTTTTCAATGTAAATGTTTGTAACTTGCGCAAAGTTCTACAAATGAAATAATGTTAATATTTATAATATTAACATTATTACATTTGTAATAATGTTAATATTTATAATAATAATAATAATAATAATAATAATAATAATAATAATAATAATAATACTAATAATAATACTAATAATAATACTACTACTACTAATAACAATAATGGTGAAGGTGATGACAGGGATGATGATTATGAGGATCATCATCATTTTTATAAGGTTAACTATGATTTTTCTTGATAGTATTCTATGGAATATATGAGGGAAAATGTGTAAATCTTACTTGTAGGCGTGAAGGATGAAGACCAATTCATTATTAACAAAAGATATGCTATTAGAATGGCAAGAAGGAAGACAAAGAACTTAGAATCGATTTTGGTCATCGTTTAACTTCACCAGCACGTTTGGCACAAATAACTGCAATGAAGTGAAATGTCAGTTAAATATATAAGAATAATACTATTTAGTTCTTCAATTCATTATCCATCGCACTTTGGGAAATTAAAAACAATAATGAATATACATTAAAACATTAATTAATGGTCCAGTACATTAACAAAATGAAAACATTGCATAGCAAAACATATCCTGATCAATATGTTTTATGTTCATGATGTCATTTGCAACAAAAAAGTAACTTTCGTGTTATTTTACACGCACGAGTCCAGTAGCGTAAGGAAAAGGACATCTTATTCTTAGTGTAACGAAATTTACCCCTCCGTTGTTAACAGCCCTATGGGACAAAAGTTTAATTTATTTGGACGACCCCAAAATCCGTAAGACTGGTCTGGTCAGACTACGGAGGTACCTCCATGGAGAGATACAGACGATGAAGTTATAGCTCACCAATATCAGAGCACTAGAATAAGTGAGGGCTAATTCAGCTTCTTGTGAAAGGGTGGAAGGCGGTGTATAGTGTTTGAATTTGGTAGTTTTAATTTAGATGCAGACTAAACATGAATTGGTGATTTTTATATTGGTCAGGCTTTTGATTCAGCTTGCGTGATTGGATTGGATTGGATTGGATTTATTCGGTGTAAACACCAAGGATAGCCCACGAAAGTCTAGAAGAAGACTTATTTCCAGTGGGGTCCTTCTGGTGGTGATTGGGCAGTAGGCCTACACCGGGAGACAATCCCCTACTCTTTTCCGGAGAGTGCACTGCGTTCTTTAACGTGCACATGGGCCATAATGCACACGAGACCAACGGCTTAAACGTCTCATCCGAAAGACGGTGCGCTAATTGTAACTTGTATTTCAACCCTCTAGCTGAAACACAAGGAGAGGCAGCGATGGGAATTGAACCGGGGACCTTGAGATCCACGGTTCAGCGCACACACAGTGGCTACCAAGCCGACTGAGCTAAGCTGCTCTCTAAACTGCTTCCTATGGCAAATAATTCATTTTACAGTAAGTGCATCTCACATTTTTTCACTCTCTTTATTCCACCAACTTTATTCAGTGGCGTATCCAGAAATGCGTGGAAGTTAGGTGCACGCACTCCCCTCCCACCCCCAAAGAAAGCTAGCACCCATTAGCCGCACCCCTCCTCCCACCACCCCCATTGAAAATGCCGAAGCAAAACAAATCACGCTCAATTAGTTAAAAAATCACTTCATTTTGCGACCTTAGGCCCCCTCAATTAATCATCAAGCACTCTCCCCACCTTCGCGTCCTTCATCCCACCCTCACCCCACCCCCTCCTAACACCCTCTTTGCAAGACTCCTAGATAAGCCACTGTCTTTTTTATCAAACAGTTTACAATTATTCAAAAACATAATATACAATATCAACCGATTCTACCTAAATGATCAGTTTCGGTGACAAATAAAATGCTGATAAATTTCTATACTGGTGCCAGCCCCAGTCATCAATCATCTGATCAGAATCCCGTAATCAGGTTTGGTGACGTCATCGAGACTATAACGATTATTATTTGTCACCGAAATTGATACTTATCTGATCATTTACAGATCATTTTTTACATCTCATATAATATTAAAAAGTAGTAGTAGTAGTCTCATTATCTTTTCACCTTTTCAAGTTTTCGAGCTCTTTTCTCATACATAGAAGTAATCGAATTTAAAATTATCATTGTTCAATTCTGAAAATGCTGTCAGTTTTGTGGATATTTTGCAAATTTGACGTTTGATTCTTAGGCCTATCTATGTAGACCTAAGGCCAAGCAGTCAGCTCTAAAGCAGTAGCCAAGAACACTGCTTTTGCAGCCTTTACTTTGAATAGTCTGGTACCAGGCCTGAATACCAATGGTAGCTAGCATGGAACTCGCGACCACTTGAAAATGCGAACCTCGAGATTGCGATGGGTCGAGTTACATACTACCCAGCGCAGGCGCTGATCCAGTTTTTCCACTGAATTTTAAAATGCCAATGCATAACAATTTTATGTATTGAAATAACCGCTACTCAGTTACCTATTCTGAAAATGTTGTGCCCGACCACCACCCCCCCCCCCCCTTGTATAATCGTATACATGCCCCCCCCCCCCCCCCCCCCCGTTTAAAAAAAATTCTGAATCTGCCCCTGCAGCATATCCGACTAGTTTATGATTAAATTATGAAAAACCAGTTTGCCGAAACCTGTTTTGCCTAAATTGACCAACTATATTAAAACAGTTTGTTGAATTTTCTATTCACCGTCGTGGGTCTGGGTAGGAAGTACAAAGAGGTGCAGCCTACTGTGCTTTGGTCGTTATACAATTGTGAGGACAAAATTAGTAACCCTACAGTTTATTGTATTTTCATTTATTCATTCATTCGGACAACTACCCTACTTTATTCAATCAATCAGGCCATCGGCTCATAAGGCCATAAATATAACAATAACAAAAGCAATAACATGATCGGTTTTACTTAGATGTTGTTAGCTACGGCTTTCTTTTTTTATAATATTAAAAGCAACGTAAAGGAACTTAGATAACTGAAACTGTAACCGAGTATCTTTGAACAATCTTAGAAACTTATTATAATTTGGATTTGACCACACAAAAGAAGACAAGATAGGCTCTCTTTCTTCTTTGTAAGCTGTGCAAGTTGAAGAAAAAATGATATTCATCTTCTATTTCGTTAGCGTCACAAAGACAGCAAATAATTGGGTCTGTTTCATTTCTATAGTTTATAAGTAAGGGATGGGACCCAGTGCGGATTAGTGTTTGGGGTTCCGTATAAAAGTTGATTGTCAGTATTAATATAAAAAGTAATTGTCATTTAATCTGGTTTCAAAATTCTTAAGAAATAATTTAGTATCGCCTACTCCTTGGTTAAGCCAAGCGAAACCAAAGCCGTGTTCGAAAAGTATTCGTTTAACCTTCAGTGCTCAACTTTGTGTAATATCGTATCGGATCAGCATAGCACTTAAAACGGAAGGCGGTCGGAATCCATTGTTATAATTTTTAGCCAATAGGAAATTATTCTTTGCAAACTTTAATCCACAATGGAAAGCGCCCAAGTTCGCTTAGACTTCTTACGTACGTTATTAGGAGGCCTGCTGATCGACAATGTGTACCTGGTGAATGGAATGAAGGAATTATCATTCCACTTTACAAAAAGGGTGACCAACATGACCTTAATAACTACAGAGGTATTACATTAAACTCCTGTGTCGTAAAAGTGTACAATAGAATTATCTCCCAGGCAGTGTCAAACTTCCTTGAAGAAAACGAGATCCTCACTGAAGTCCAAGGGAAATTTAGACATGATAGAAGATGTAAAGACCACATCTTCACATTAAAAAGTATAATAGCAACTCGTCAGGCCTATTTTGCTTTTTTGGACTTCAGTAAGGCGTTTGACACTGTCTGGCGAGAGGGTCTATTCGCTGTAGTTGCAAGAATTGGCATCAAAGGAGACCTCCTAAACATTATTAAAAATCTATATAAAAATGTAAAGTTTCATTTGGTAACATTGTTACAGATTATTTTGATGTTAACGAAGGCGTTAAGCAAGGGTGAACTCTGTCAGCAGTGTTATTTACAATTTATATCAATGAATTGAACAAAATGATATCACAAGGAAAGCTTGGTATAAATATTTTTGGTACCAGAATCGGTAGCCTCTTTTGGGCTGATGATGTGGTGTTGATCGGTGAAAATGATAACCAACTTAATGAATTACTAAAGACAACATATGATTTCGCAAATAAATACAAGATGAGCTTCAATTACAGCAAATCAAATATTTTAATAACAGGCCAAAAGGTTAACAAATTCAGGAAGTTGAAACTGGGGGATAATTACTTAACAGAAGTAGAAGATTATAAGTACTTAGGCATGATTATATCAACATTCTTATCCGACTCGCACCACATTAATGAGGTTATAAGAAAAGGCAACCAAGTTATTGCATATACTCGGTCGATCATTAATAATCAAGATGATTTTAATCGAGTATTTTATGGCGACTTGCTTTGGAAATCAATCGGCTTACCAACAATAAAATATACTTGCTCTATATGGTTCGGAGGAAAAAAACAGCCACGGAGAGATTTGAAAACCTCCAATACCAAATGGCCCGAACCATTCTTAAAGCACCTAGGAATGTGGCTAAGACTGCACTTTATGGTGAATTAGGCTGACAATCGATTGAATCAATACAAAGCAACTTTGTCCTACAATATTTTAACTGACTTAAAAATATGAGTGAAGATAAATGGCCACGGTTACTGTTTAAATCAATTTTTAATGTTGAAAATAACCTCAAATGGCAATGGCTAACCAAAGTAAAAGGCCTATTAAACAAATGTCACCTTTCATCAATGTACAACATGGAACCACAAAATAACTGGTTAAATAAATTTAAAAAGACAAATATGGAAGTTGATATGAGTAGATGGTTTGGAATTGCTAAATCAAAGAGGTCACTTACAGAGTATACCAGATACAAAGGTCACCCTTCGATCGAACCTTATCTCCTAGATCAGACTAACTTTAAAGCGGTGTCTCTTAAATTTAGAGCCCGCACTAATTCTCTGGACCTAGAGGGCATTAAAGAATCTTGGTCGGTAGATAATTATGGTTTCTGTAAATTATGCTTCGGTAACATTAGGGAAACGACAGATCACTTTTTATTTGACTGTGAAAGACTCCGTCCCATTAGAGAAAATGTTTTTAAGAATTTAAAAGATGACCTCTTTTTTGGGAATCATTTACAAATGCATCTGCTGAGTATAAACGTCATCTATTTGCAGACAATCTTTTTGATCAAATTGAGTCTCATGAAGTAGGAGAAAGTTTTGACAATTACTGTAAGACCTATCTCATGGAGGCTTGGAAAGTTAGACAAAGTATATATAAATCTATGACTAGAGTACCAACCATAATCAATGTAAACTGAACTTCAACAATTTTATTGCAATTTTCTAAACCATTATTGTTAAAGGACTATCTTAATTTGTATAACTACAGTATTATTAACACTGTATGTTTACAGTTTGTATATACAGTATATGTATGTGTGTGCAGGTATGTAGGTGTGTATGTATTGGTGAATATTTTTGTGTATGTGTGTATGTATGTTTATATGTATATATATATAATTATATAAATATATATATATGTGTATGTGTGTATATGTATATAATATGTACAGTATATGTATGTATATAGACCTATTATGTATATATATTGCACATGTATATATATGCTAGTAGTACATTTGTACTAGCTAGTTCCTCATTGTATTTCTTGCTGACCTTATGGTACTGTTGTATTATTTAAGTATTTTCCTTGTGTAAGTAATTCTATATAATATACATAAGTATGTATGTATGTATAATACGTGTGTATGCTTGAGTATGTGTATATATGTATGCGAGTGTATGTATATATGTTTATTTACAGTATATATAATATATATACATATATATATATGTTATATATATATGTATATATATATATGTATTTGTACGTGTATGTGTGCATATATATGTTTATTTCCTTATATATATATTTGTTGACATAATATATATTTTTGTTGTTACATTTTGTAAAAAGTTGTTATTTTGGATACACCGTTAGGTATTGTCTAACGTATGCCGCTGTTTCAAAAGTGCTATCCATTAAATATCTATCTATCTATCTAGTTAAACATGAAATACCTAAAACGTTTTACAGAATTTTGAGTGCACCGTTTCGTAACTTCTACATTTGTCGAAACCCCATACTTCCGAGCAATAAAGAAGAATAGGAACGACCATGCTATCAAACATATACATTTTAATATTAGGGTTAACATGGGGGTATCCATCATGAAAACCTTTAATCCTAAATAACCCCTTTTTTGCTTGTTTGTTAATGTATTTACCGCTACTGACATTGAACCTCTCGAACTGATTTTTACACCCACATAGTTATAATACGGAACTACCTCAATTTATATACCCATTTTTCAATTCCTCCCGTTCTGAAAACCATTGTTTTTGTTGTTTCGATATTTACCTCTAAGTCCCACATAGTACAATATGTGCCAAGTGCCCTCAACATTTTTTGTAACATTAGTGGCGTCCCATATACTTTAAATTGCAAATTGTATCATTTACGGTAATCATGTCAATCCCATTTTTTTTTTCGAAAGACATCGTCTAAATCACTAATATAAAGACAAAATAAAAGAGGCGCAGGCCCAATTTACATTCCACATGTTCACTTTATTCAATGTTTGATCTTATACATGAGGAGTTTCCAGCATAATAGTTTTGTAGTATAATAAGAAATTTTCCTTTAATTCCGAGTTTCCTAAGTTTGTACAACAGTTTCTCCTAATTTATTAAATCGAAAGCTTTTCGTAGATCGACAAAGGTGACATACAGTCTACCTTTAGGTTTACGTAAATAATTAACTACGACAGAATCTAATGTAAATATATGGTCAGCCGTGCTGTAGCCCTTTCGGCATCCGGCCTGTGTTTCAGTAAAAGTAGGCTATATTGAAAGCGATTGCGTCACCTAAATTTTGTTTGAGTTTGCTCCTAGTTGTTCGGACTCGTTTGTTGAATTCTTCGCTAACGCTTATCTTTGAACCATTATCTTCGTGTTCCTCGCTATCTTCATTTCTCCTTTGTAGTTGTTTTCTATTCTCTCTAAGAATAATCTTCTTATCTTGGTAACTAGAAAATTTTGATATGATTGGTCTGGGTTTTGACTTTGTGTTGAGTCGGGTTCTTTCTGTTGCAACCCCCTTTGCATCTATACCAAGTGTAGCTGTCATATATTCTGACTTTATTTTCACTAATCTCCCACGTCTCTTCCCTGTCTTTTTGCATACCGTAAAATACAAGATTATTTCGTCTGCTTTATGCTTCAAAGTTATCTATTGCCTTTTAAGTTCGAAATTGGATAATTTAAGTTGCTTGTTTTTGTCTTTCATTCGGTTTCCCATTGAATTCATTTGGCAGGTTAACTAATGAATTTTTGTGGATATTTCATTAATATTTTCCATGATACTTGTTTTAATATGAATTTTCATGTTATCCATTTGTTTAAGTAGATCTTTCAGGGTTGCAGTGGTTCTTTGTTATTTTCGTCAAGGGCAGATTGGCGAGTTTGAACACCAGAGGCCCAGGGTATTCTCCTGATAACATAGGGATCGTACATAATGCAGAAATACGAATCACAGCTCGTATGTATGGACCTATTATATGCCAATCCCACTGTGAAGGGAAACTAGTTTACCATTTCTAGTTCGTTTGCCTAGGCTATACATTCCAATACGCATTTTATAGGTTATCGCATCGATCATTTTGAGGTGTTTCGTTTACGGTATCTCAAATTATGATGAAATGGGCCTATCTTATGGACATGTATAATGGATACCTTTCTATAATAATATGTGGCTTCTTAAGTAGACAGTACGATTTTGTCATATCCCATACACTTACTAGTCAAACAGGTGGTTCCAGCCTCCACGTCACTAGCGTTCCCGGCTTAAAATTCCCGGAAAAAAAATTCAGAATGAAGTAACAAACTCCTTGTGGCAACTTTCAATAATATAATGTCGAATTATATAACTTGTAGAATCGAATATAGCTTCTTTAATTATTAAAATGCTTCTTCTCAGTAAAGACGACCATTTGAGTTAATCAGTCGCACAAAATCAACAGAACGCCACTTTACTGGCATTCAAGTCTCTCTCAATGCGTCTAATTTCTGGATGACGTCACGGGCTCCGTGCAGTAAAATTCTAATTTTAGATATCGCAAGCTATGATATGGTCTTGTCCAATCGCATAATATAGGTAAAATGTATCTTCTTAAGTAAATATTGCTCTTACAAAATCAATAGGTAACTCGGTGTCACTGGCACTCTAGGCTCAAGGTGTGCCTATGGTCTTGATGATCATCTTATGTCTTTTTTGTACTAGAAAATAACTGTGTTAAGTGTATAGTCCAGTAGCAGAAGGGGGAATCATCACCCGACGAGGAAAAAATTTTCATCCAACTTTTCTAGACCAATTTTTTGTGTAGATTCCGAAAATGGGGGGTGATCAACCAGGTTCGTAGGCGTTTTCGAGATACGAGGAGTCAAATTTCAAAATTGACCAATTATAGCAATTAATTTACTTGAATGACCATTTATAAAAACCTAAAACATGATGTTTGATCACTTTGGTATGCTTTCAGATATCCAATTGTCATTAAATAAGTAAATCAAATTATTTTTCACACAATATTTGTGGTCAAAGTTCAAATTTGACCAATTAATTGGCCAAATATAACAATTTACAACAATCCAATCAGGAAAGCAACAATCATTGTTTAAATAATTTGTTTGTGATTTATGTACACAATCATCATTTAAAAAAATCAAATCAAACAATTAGGTCTGCCGACAATGAGGTCAAAGCTCAAAATTGGCCAATAGAATGAACTTACTATAATAATAATCAATGATGAAGACTAATATGTCGTGTTTTTGTTTTCTTTAAGTTTTTAGATATCTAAATCCTCAAACAATAAGCAGATCTAATCATTTAATCCGTCAATTTTAGGGTCAAAGGTTAAAATTGACCAATTATAACACTATGCACTTGATAAAGCCAGCATGTTGAATTATTTGTTGCCCTTTAAACTACTAGTCCAATAGCTGAAGGGGGAATCACCACCCGACGAGGGGAAAATTTTCATCCAAATTGTCTAGACCAGAATTTTACGTAGATTACGAATCTGGAGGTGATCAGCCAGGTTCGTGAAACCAATTTAACGATGACAAGGTAATTGACGATGGTTACCTGTATTTGGCATTGCATTTAGCTCGAAGTACAGTAACTGATATGGATGTGTTACCGGTATCTGTCTCCTAAACCACCATGCACTATTAATTCCAGTAAAATGTACACTGAAATGTACCGATCCATTGGATTGATATATGGTGTAGAACATTAAGATTGGATACAGTGAATGAATCAAATTAGTGAAGATGTTCTGTGAATACCGTATTGTCTCTAATAAACGCCCCGGGGGCATTGCATTTTTTCAAAGGGGGGGGGGGTTTACTAGAGGTGAATTGTAAAATCAAAAATTACCTAAACAAGCTGCTTCAAACGGTCAATAAGTTCTTTATTTGTAGAGGAACAAGTTAATGTGCAGGGTATCTCCAAGCCTCCTGCTATTTTGCTGTTCCTTCGTTTGTTGCTGGTTGTTTGAACATCAATAATTCATTTTGTTTCAAAAAGAAATGAAATATCTTCGAGTTCTCTTGGGGTAAATGTCCGACGATGCAGCGCGGTGCTTCTCCTTTCACAACAGCAATCGCGTACTTGTCAAAAACATTGTCGGCCTCATGAACTAGGCCTAGCACCGCACCACCGCACGCAAAACATCTGCCCTCAACTTGAAGAAACATTCTCACTACGGTATAGACTTCATTGACCAGACACCTTGAATCAAATCAGCGTCGAACACGCGACACATTAACAATACACGATTACCCGTCGTTTGCCGTCAGTTTGCAGCTTACCCTGTTTTACAAGGCTAACGAAATACCATGAGAGAAACACAAAATAGGCCTAGGCCTAGTGATCGTGAAGACAGTAAACATCTAATGTTTAGGGTAAGCTTTTTTGAATAGTATTTATTTCATTTCATATCCTTGTTTGTCAACCTTTTTATGGACATGGATACCCATGTTAATTGATTGGGCACTCATTGCAAAATGAAAAAAAAAACTCGGAGGGGCAGTTTATTAGAAGAGGGGCATTTATTAGAGACAATACGGGTATTGAATGTAAATTGCAATTGTAAACTAAAAACCATGGAAAAGGGATCAGGTTCCTAAATGTGCAAAATAAAAATAGGAAACTAAATTGTAGATTATATGATTGATTATTAGGAGTAAAATAGTTATAATGCTTAAATAGTATATTCAGACCTTTAACCCAATATTGGCTGATCAGACCATATTGATTTATTTAGTTTAATACAGTTATATGATCTAATAGTATAAAAAGTGCTAAAACAACAGATTTTAGGTTTATTATAGTAATGTTTTATAATTGGTCAATTTTGGCCTTTGACACTTGATATCTTGAAAATTAAACTCTGGCTTTATGCAATTGGATTACATTTTGGTTGTAAAAACAATACGTTACCAAGCTTTATGAAAAAGATTAAAGAAAATGGTTTTTTTTAATCTTTATTTGGAAGTCTCCCTTTCAAAAAATATTAAACATAGTCGTTTCCTCAGAAACGGGTAGTACTGTATAAGGCACGAAGAAACCTTAGGGGCATTTTAACAATCAATCAATCAATTTTATTCCATGTCTTGTTTTTCATTACAAATACAGTTACATATTGGTGGTGGAAACGGAAATATATATAAGAAGGAAAGCCTTTAACTCTGGGTCCTCTCCAATATATGTACATATTATCGCTGAGGAAGAACACATCATACACGTACATACAGTTTTATATATATACTGTCTCTTATACACATCTAGATGTGTATAAGAGACAGCTTACTATACCACAACCCAAGGTGTCTGCCAAAAATGGATAGTGCTTAACAATCTGAAAACAAACATGCTCCCT